GCCCGAGATGGGTGGATCATGAGGTCAGGAGTTCAAGACTAGCCTGGCCAAGATGGTGAAACCCCATCTCTTAAAAAAAAAAAAAAAATCTTTAAGCTACTGAACATAGTCATCAATATATCATATCTGGACAGAGCGTAATTTATAAGTGTGATGACTTCAAACAGAAGTTTCTAATCTGTTGTGCAAGCACGTATGATACTGCCAGCAAAACACTTTTAAAATTAAGAGCAATGGAACAGCTACAAGGGGAACAGACTATTCTGAAACCACTTCCAGGAACACGCTTTGTTTAAACAAAATGTATTAAGTGAAACCAGCTGTATTAAGGAAAGGTCAGTGCCATCTGAAGTGGAATTCTAAAACCACCCACTTCATAATATCAGGGTAATGATTCCTTCCTGTTTTATAAAGGAAATACTCAGTAGCAAACTAGCTACAGGACCGCAAGGCAAGGAGGAGTTCACCAATGGAAAAAAGGCCCAGCTGTAGAGCAAGTGGATGCTCACAAGAAACCACTTAGGTCACACTAACTAGGCCAGCCAGCTTTATGCCTCCATGCCACTCACACCAAGCAGTGCTGAAGAAACGGGAAGGGACTCATGCACAGCAAAAGGGAGGTTAACCTGGTATTTACGGCACACTTTTGAGGGTACCAGAAAAAAGAAACCTGCAGTCAGAAATAATCAGCATATTCTCCATTTGAAAGCCAAGTGAATCCCCTATTCCTGGGGGAAGAGGAACTCTAAAATGCACACCTTTGTCATATCTAAAAATGAACACAAATCTCAAGAAAAGTAAAACCTACATTGTAACTAAGATTCCATTATTTAAAATATTTTTCCCTTAGTAACAAAAGCATAAGAAAGAGCTTGCTCCTCCAAAGACTTTCTTGGAGTAACGAATCTGGGCCTCTATGAAGTCATGTAACCCAGTCAACAGTGATCGCCAGTTATGAAAGCATTTCCCAATGTACCAGCCAATACAGCTAGTAAGACTGTAATCAAAACAATGCAGTTGAGAAACGCAGCCACTAATCATTTTATTTTGGAAACCAATTAAGGAATGATGAAGGAAAGGAAAAACAGTGATTCATTTGTTTTGATAAAATCTGGCCTTCAAATGATCGAACAGACCAGGAAATACACATATTTCTATGGTCTAAGGTGTCTTAAACTTGGCTTTTAAAAAAAGATTATTCCAAAGCTTGTGAGCAAACTAAATCAGCTGGTTCATAAACCAAAGTCTCTTGACTATGACATATTCTGCTAACTTTATGGATGTGGGCTCACAGGTAAATAAATACATAAATAAATAATGACCTACAGGCAGTTACAAAGTTGCAGCTTGCAATGTCTAACTCAACAAGATAGCAATGTGTCATGATTCAATGGCAACAGTCCCCAACATTTTTGGCACCAGGAACTGCTTTTGTGGAAGACAATTTTTCCACAGACTGGGGGTGGGGGGTGGGGGGATGGTTCTGGGATGATTCAAGTGGATTACATTTATTGTGCACTTTATTTCTATTATTATTACTTATATTGTAATATATAATAACTATACAACTCACCATAATGTAGAATCAATGGGAGTCCTGGGCTTGTTTTCCTACAACTAGACAGTCCCATCTGGGAGTGATAAGAGACAATGACGGAGCATCAGGCATTAGATTCTCATCCAATAAGGAGCACACAACCTGGATCCCTCGCACACACTGTTCACAATAGGTTTCATGCTCCTGTGAAAATCTGACAGAAGGTGGAGCTCAGGCAGTAATAAGCCAGATGGGGAGCGGCTGTAAATACAGACGCAGCTTCACTTGCTCATGTGCTGCTCACCTCCCGCTATATGGCTTGGTTCCTAACAGGCCACAGACCGGTCTGTGGCCTGGGGGCTGGGGGCCCCTGATCTATGGAACAGTGGTGGCTTAGGTTTGAAACTGCACTCAATAACTTGGTTTACCAGCCTCTGTTAAAAAGCAAGCAACACTCAGTACTAAAATTGCAGTCAAAATGTGCAACACAGCTTGCACCAACTCTAGTTATTTCTCAGAAGAAACAGTCTGAAATTTCTAAAATGCATGGAGAGGACAGAATCAGCAAATACCAAAAGTGTGAAGAATGTTCCAATTACAGGAAATCCTGGTTAGTATGGATACCACCAATTTAAAACTCATGATGATTGGGGCGCAGGTTAGAATTCACAATATGTATAAGGAAGAAAGGGGGCAGATGCTGGAGGAGTTGAAGAGGTGGGGGCAAATAGATTTATGGAAAAAACTTTTAAAGAAATCCATCAATACTGGCAGGAATACTAAAAACAAGCAAATTCCATATGAATCTTATTGGCTGATTGAAAAGTATTACCCTTGGCCAGGCACGGTGGCTCATGCCTATAATCCTAGCACTTTGTGGGGCTGAGGAAGGCGTATCACCTAAGGTCGGGAGTTCATGACCAGTCTGGCCAACATGATGAAACCCTGTCTCCACTAAAAATACAAAAATTAGCTGGGCATGGTGGTGGGTGCCTGTAATCCCAGCTACTCGGGAGGCTGAGGCAGGAGAATCACTGGAATCTCGGAGCCAAAGGTTGCAGTGAGCCAAGATCACACCATAGCACTCCGGCCTGGGTGACAAGAGTGAAACTCCATCTCAAAACTAAAAAGTATTACCCTTTAGTGGCATTTTGGAAGCCATCGCTTCATAGAGACAAGATGGTGTTAGTGATGGTGTTAGGGAAAAAGCATCTGATTAGAAACTAGAAAGCGGCTGCAAGGGTAGTTCTGGGGCTCCGCCACTTTCTAACTTAGTGATCACTGGCAAGCCACTTAACCTTTCTGAGAATCTTAGCACTACAGTAGGGACACGATCTGTCATCTCAAAAACATCAAATGGGATGTCATATGATCAAATTTGCCAAGTACAGTGACATAAACAAAATGTACTATATTATTTCAACTATCTCTTGAAATACCCTACTCAACATTTTTCACGCATCTTAAGCCCTCTTATGCGTTACCCCAATTCAGTACTTCCTCTCCGTGTGCCATTCAGGGTCCCAGGTCAGAAATCACATCTGACATGGCTCCTGGTGTGTCATGGAGAAATGGGGAGAACTGAAGGACTCATAGGACCACTAGGGGCAGAACAGGAAGGGAAAAAAAAAAAGCATGAAGAAGAGGAGGAATGAACTTAAAGTCATCCTGTCCCTGTCAACACTGCCGAGACTTACTTATGTTATCATGGGAGCTACCATGTGACCACCTGAAGGGCAGAAAGTAAAATCCTCCAGTTGAGCAAACAACTCAGTGGCATGAGAAAGGAAAAATGACATATTAGCAATGGGAAGCTTAGAGTAAAGTCCTGGAGGCTGTAAGACTCAACCTGTAAGGAGTCCTGGTATGTCCTGGCAAAAATGTAAGCCTTCTCCCAAAGTGAGCCCAAGAGGACCCGGTGTCTACTTCCTGGGTGAAAACACAATTCTGTTGTTCACTTGATTTCTTCCTTTTTCTTTTTTGAGATGGAGTCTTGCTCTGTCGCCAGGCTGGAGTGCAGTAGTGCAATCTCGGCTCACTGCAACCTTTGCCTTCTGGGTTCAAGCGATTTTCCTGCCTCAGCCTCCTGAGTAGCTGGGACTACAGGCGCGCGCCAACATGCTTGGCTAATTTTTGTATTTAACACAGACAGGGTTTTACCATGTTGGCCAGGGTGGTCTTGGTCTCCTGACTTCGTGATCTACCTGCCTCGGCCTCCCAAAGGGCTGGGATTACAGGCGTGTTGGCGCGCGCCTGGCCCTGTTAACTTGATTTCTTTCTTGCATCCTATCTGGG